AATATGTCGTCGATAATTTTCGTCAGTGAAATTGAGCTTTCTAGTAGTGTAATCAAAATTAGAGTCAAACAAATTATATAAAAAATAAGAAATTTTAAATAGTTAATTTGATACTAATATCGATATTTTTTTTTTGTCAAATTTTTATAATATTTTCAAATTTATATTTTATTCAAAAATAAAAATATTATCGTTTTTTTTTAAATCACATAAAACCATATTATAACATCGACTGAGATAAAAAATAAAACAAAATAATAAAATCAAAATCTATCTTACTGCATTGTATAAATACCCTTATATTACTATATTGTAGGATTACCTTATAGTATGATTTTATTATGATAAAAACAAATTCGGATCCATCATGAAAGAGAATTTAGTGCTACAATCATTTATTATGGCTTTGCTTCAATCTGGCATATGAAACAAAATTCAAAAAGGAAAAAAAGACAGTGGTTTCCAACAACTTAAAATGAAAAGGCTAACACATTTTAGAGAAAAAATATATTATTAAATTTGAAAAAAAAAATAAGAACCATACAAATACATTTTACGGGCTATTCTCTACCCATTGTGACACATGTAAGTTGTACAAATACATTCATGAGTCTTTAGTTACTCAAATCATCGTTTAAATTCCTTGCATTGGTTGGAACAAATCAAAAGAAAATCATAAAAGGTTATAAACTTAAGAAAAACAGTTGAAAAGTATTTTTCATATGAATTTTTTCCATTAAAGATTAGGATTTAAGGTATTGTTTTATATAAATTTGTTTCATAATGTGATAACTTCACATGTATTTGTTTCACCATGTGAAACTTTTTAGTGTGTATTTTTTATTTTACTAGGTGAAACAAAAATGTATTTTTTTCATCATGTGAACACGAACATATGTAAAACTATATCTTAAATTCTAGACTTTGATGAAAAAAAGATCACAATGTAATTTAGATTTGTTCTCACAAATTTGTAACTTTTTTTACGGTTATCATTTGATTATCATATTTGGGTTATATATATATATAGAGAGAGAGAGAGAGAGAAAGGAAGATTCAAACAAGAACGCTAACTATTTAAGAAAGTAAGAAAAAGTCATTAATGTATAAAATCATATGTGATTTTACATTAAATGGAAGCGGACGACTTTTGAGGCCGTTTAAGTCGCAGAGCAAAGTTATCCGGATCATGTATGATTTATTACGTGATTCATATATAATTTTGTATATTAACGATTTTTTTTTATTTTTTTAAATAGTTAACATTTTTGTTTGAATATATATTAGAATAGATAAAGTCAAAAAGATTAAGATTACTAGTTAGGGAAAAAGAAAGAATAAAGAAATGAAAGTTGATTAGAGCATCTAGATATGATTCTGTAGTGGTGAATTTATGATAGATTTGCTACATATTGTATTTTATTCCATCATACATGCCCCTTGGCACATAACTTTACAACTCCTCCCTCCTCTTTCTCTCTCTGTCATTAATATATAAATATTTTAGTTTTTTAATTTGAAAACCATTTTTATTAAACATATGCAAATGTTGGATTTCATGTGGGGTCCCCACCGGGCCCACTCCATGTCAAAAATAAAAAGAATCACCTATTCCTGTTCCTGTTCTTGTTCTATTATAATAATAATAATAATAATAATAATAATAATAATAATCATATATACATTTAAATATAAACGATATCATTTTATGTGAATGTAATAAATCCAAACAAGCAATTATTTCTTTTGATAAATTATTGACACAAGCGACCTTGGTCTGATCAAGTCGTTCTATTTTGTATTCATACAATGACGTATTTTGCAAGAAGGTCAGGATTTTCAATATCTTATATGATTACATGCATAGTACACAAGCTTAATCATATATGATGAAACACATATTGTATTGACAACACATAGACGCTTAATCACACATGATTAAACACATTCAAAGGATTGTAATCATATATGATATTGAGATTTCTCACATCTTGCAAAATGTTTAACTTCTCGCATGATCACGCTAACTATTTAAGAAATCAAGAAAAAAGGTCGTTAATGTACCAAACATATATGATTCACGTATGAAACCATAAATGATTTATATATATACATATATTCAAGTATAAAGTCATACATGATTCATACACACACATACACACATATATAGATTCGCGTAAAATATCATACAGGTTTTAACGCCGTCTAATAAATATTTAGTTTATAAATATCTCAATAATATTTTAAACTAAAACATTAATCATCATAAATGAACTACAATAATATTTCATAAATATCTTATTTCAATTCATTTGTATTAATTGAAACACAGGTTCTCTCTATATTAAAAAAAAACAAATGACAAAAACACCCCTTTTTGTTTGTTTGTTTGTTTGTTTGAGGGATTCATTTGTTGACCAGGTCCAAGTCCAAAATGTGTGCATGAATCCCACCATGTATCGATAATGACACCCAATTCAAATGATCATATCATATGTTGACGTGACCATCGCACAACACATACTAATTCTTAAAAAAATACCCTTTATACATTTAATTCTTAAATAAGATTGTGGCCTCTCTCTCTATAATATATATATATATATATATATATATATATTTCTTTTCAAATCCTTAAATGATATTTTGTGTCTCTACTTGCTTATACAACCACCCTCACTCTTTTCTTACGTACATGCATGATTCTTCTCTCACTACATCTTTATATAAAATTTAAAAAAATAAAAATAAACCTTCACCGCTATTCTGGGTTAGATCGGTTAGTCTTTGGAAATTTTTCCGACTGTTATCTTCACAACCATATGAAATTAATTGAGATACGTGTAAACCGACTCACTGAACCTTCAACACTCTCCTGAGTTCATCAGAAATCCCTTGTAAACGCACCGGTTTTTGGATCAATCCATTCATCCCTATCTCTATGCATTTTTCCCATAAATGTTCATCACCACTAGCACTCAAACCCACTATCAACGGCCAGTTCCGGCTTCGAGATTTCCGGACTCTTGACGTCACTTCGAACCCATCAACATCGCCCATATCAAGATCCAATATCACAATCTGGTACGACAATACCGGCTGGCTCAGAGCCATCATGCAGTCGGAACCACTGCCGACGGTCGACACAATGCACCCCAGTCTCTCGAGCAGCCTACGTGTAACACCACGGTTGATATCATCTTCGTCGGCTAGCAGGACTTGAAGACCTCTGAAAAGAGAGTTCGAGAGTGGGTGGTGTTCGGAGGACTCTCCGGTTTCCGATATTCCGATTACAATCGATGGCCGGAGTTGAAACCGAAGGACAAGCGAAATACTTTGATTGAATCCCACTGGATTCGGAACCACCCACATCTTCCCTTGCATCAACTGCCAAAAACAACAAAAAGAACACCTTTACAACAAAGATGGTTGCTTTATAACATTTTTCTTGAAGTAAATATGCAGAATATGAGATATGTTTTCCTCAAATACACACTACTCTGCAGTAAAATCTGCTTTATAAGATGTCGAATATGTCTAAGCGACTGTTTAGCAAAAAAAATTAAAAAGCGTCCGTTTAATTTTTATAGGATGCTTCTATAAAACACGTTTCAGAAAATGTCATTTAAAAAGATAATAAGCGTCTTAAAAACATGTTGATACGTCTAAAAGCGCGTTTGTTGAGGTGACTAAAGAAAAGGACTAACCTCCACCAGTTTCCGGCACATGCCGAAGCTCAAACCCTGCTCGACTACACCACTGCAGATCCTATCATCGGCAAAAGGGCGTTCTTCCAATCGAGGGATGCGATCACTGATCCCAATTTCGAACTTAACAGTGACATATCCATCGGACGAATTGGATGATCTCCAAGTTGCCCATCGCTGATCGTTTCTCCCATGGCTACCACTCTCTGTAGAAACCCTAAGAATCAAGCACCCTCCACCATTGCCACCATTCAAAAGATTCCCAACCATATGCAACAAAACCTGAAAAACCCTTCTTTCATCTCCCATTACGTTATCCGGCAATGTTTTATCAGCTTCGGTTATGAATTCGTAACTTTTATAAGCACACAAACACTTTGCAAGATAAGCTGCTTCTTTGATCAAAGAATGGAGCCGAAACGATCTCATTTCCAATGGAAACCTTCCATTATCTTTAGAAGAATCATCCATTACATCATCGATCAACATCGAGAGAACATTGCTCGTTTTGACCATGGAATCAACAAGAACTCGTTGCTGGTTATTCATATTTTCATCCTGAATGATCGAAAGCAAACCCATCATTGAATGCATAGGTTTCCTCAAGCTTTTACTCATCACGGTTTGAAACAAGTTCCGAGCTTGACTAGCCCTCATGGCATCTTGTTTAGCCTGTTGTAGAGCTCGATTTTGTTCGGCTAATTTATCTCTCATAAGCTGAGATTCTTCAAGAACTGCGGCATGGGAGAGGGCCACGGCTACTTGGTCGGCAACCACTTTGACTATCTCGAGTTCAGGGTTGGTCCAAGATCGAACTTGACCACCAGGAAGAACCAAAACCAGTATTGCGTAACAAGCCTGGATCATCTCAGGGGTTCCACCCTTGAAGTCCGCGACTCTAAGCATCGGCATTCTGATTGCAGCCACAGCTCCCGGTGAACCAGACCGTCCACCGCTTAGAACCGCGAGCCTTGATTCCGGATCCAACAACTTCACCACTTCGCTTCTTTTGATTTCTTGAACATCAGGATCTTGAATCGGGATGGAGAAATCATAAATTGTCGAAGGTTTTCCGCCTTTTAACTGATGGGTAAGATTCATCCTAATTTTTGCCTCATCCGGCATCCAAATCGCACAATTCTGCAAATCCAGCGTCTCAGATAACTTGTCGAGTGTGGTGTATAGAATAGTGTGGCGGTCAAGAGACTTTCGGATCTCCTGCATGAGCATACGAACATGCCATCCAGTTTCTTTCTGTTTCTTGATCATACCCATCTCTCTACCAAGATCCCAAGTCTTTTTCTTTAACATAAATTCTCTAACTTTCACTTTTAGAAGCAAAGGGATGAGAGTGATCAAAGTAATGGCGGTTGCAAACGACACCAACGCTGTAAGAAACTTGAAAATGGTGAGTGCAAGCATAAGCTGAAATGGGTGTGGTTCGTAGGTCCAGCCGTTGAGCAAATGCGTCATCCCGCAAAGAACAATGAAGGCAATGAATTGAAAGAGTACCCATTTGAATGGCACATTTGAACAACTAACAAAGCAAAGAAGCTCGATTGGGATGGAGAAATAAGCAGCCGCGATCAAGAAATCGCTCACCCTTTGTGCTTCCATAATGTTTCTATACCCGAAAAAGCCCTCAACCTCACAATTACACCCTCCAAATCCTCCATCATCAGAAGCCAAAACACCGATAACAAGCAACGAAATCAACCCGAGAGATGCTAATGTTTTCGACATTGCATCCATCGAATTGATTCTTCAATCCATATATATTTATATCAACAAGTGTTTGAATCGATCAAATCTGAGATAGAGGACTAACTTCAACAACACCCCAAAGAATACTGATTTATAAGATCAACATCCTGTTCATTCCACAATGATTAAAAACCAATTAATTAAATAAATAAAATAATCTCCGCAAACCCCACTTGAATGACATTCATGCATGTTTTCAAATTGCTATGCATCAGATTGCAGAAATCTAAACGAACCACAACCCTTGATCAAGGAATTTATCAAAACGAAAACGACAAGTCTAACGAGTTGATGTATTCAATCATCGATTGTTCCAACAATTCATGGATTTTTACCCCAAAACCAATTTCAGAAAATAACAAGAAAAGAAAAGTGGGTAGGAATTAATTGTTCATAAGCAAATAGATAAAGTAAATACTCAAATTCCTGAAGAATCCAGATGGAATTAATTCAAAAATCTAACAATGTATGGAAGAAAATCAGTTATACCTGAAGAACGCTTCTTCAGATTCTTTTTTCTGCTTCAGATCAGATCTTCCAATATCACAATCAATCTGGAAAATTAAATAATTCCCAAAATACATCTCCGAAACGAATTCATCCCTCTTATCGTTCTCACCTTCACATCAACCTAATTCACTGCAAATAATTAAACGAGTTCTACAAGAACACCCGAATCGGAAAAACTTGAGTGTATTAATAGCTTTTGAATTTGAAACAAATAAACAAAACCCACTTCAGTTTTTTCTATTCCGGCTGCTTGAAGACTACTGCAGAATCTTCATACATACATATATATATATATATATTTATATAGAAAAGAAATCTGTATAGTATAGTATAGTATATAGTATGTATTTATACAGTAGAGAAGGTTTTTTCACCTTCTTCCCTCTTTATTTCCTTTTGTGTAGTGAATTTTCAAAACTGATGTGCCTTTGGGGGAAACGGGCTTTTCTAGAGAGAGAAATGGGGTTTGGCCTATAGATTTGTCCGCGCCGTTGTTTGGTATAGGACTAGGAGAGAGACGACCAACCTGGAAAATCAATTTATATAATAAAAAGTTGTAAAGATTTTATATATTTAGATTCAGGGGCTGTTTGGCGGTTGCTGAATGGTTTAGTGCAGGATGATTAAGTGGTCAGGATGATTAAGAGACTCTGTATGATTTAGTGTCAGATAGAAAAAAGGTTGTTTG